CTCCCCCACCTGCAAGCGGGGTGGGAGGCAGAAGGCAGGGCTGGAGCAGGGGCCGCTTGGCACAGGCCCCATGGGAACAGGGTCCCTCCCCCAGCCAGCACAGGATTGCAGCTGCTTCTGGAGTGGGCGTCGGGGTGGGGATACAGGGCCCCTTGCCTGGTGCTGAGATCCAGCTGGCTCTTGGGGGGCATCGGGGCTTGGGACATGGGGCCGGGGCTGGGGACAGAAGGCCTGAGATGCAGCCGCCTCTGGGGAGGGGTGCTTCAGGAGCTGTTCAATAGCCGCCGGTGACTCTGCCCAGCTGTGTAGGACAGGAAGTGAAGAGCGATCCCCAGGGCAGCGACATCTCTGGCTCCTGGGACCACCCTGGGCCCCCTCCAACCCTCCCACAGGCCCATGAAAGGGGGCTCGTGGCCCCAGTGGCAGAGGGTCTGGCATATAGGCCTGGGGCCCGCATTTGGGCACCGGGTGAGGGCACCCCTATATGAGCAGCTGCCCCACTCCAGAGGCAGCTGCATTTCAGGGGATCCCTGTATCAATAGCTCCCCACCATGCCCCACCCCAGAGCCAGCCGCATCCCAGCAAGAGGCCTTTTGCTCCCAGCCCCAAACAGCCCGGAGCCAGCCGCATCCCAGAAACCCCCCGACTTACCCAATGCAGCGTTTCCGGAGAACATCGGGGCCGTGTGATTTACAGCCCCAGCCTTTCCCTGCCTGGCTGCAGGGGGGCTGGGACCCAGCTCCCCCAGGGCAAGGGCTGCAGGAGAGGGAAGGTCCGCCTGGCGGGCTGGTCTCTGGCTGTAGCCCCCCACCCCCGGGTGAGCCCCTGCCTGAGCTAAACTGGGAACGAGAAAGCTGAGCCCCGCTGTGCTGCCTCGCACCCGGACCCGGACCCGGACCCGGACCTGGACCCTGCGGTCTGTGAAAACCCAGAGCAGCCCCCACTTGCTCAGCGCAACCCTGTGCCCCTGGGGGTGCTGGCAGATTTGGGGGGTAAGGGAGGGGGGTACCCCACTCTGAGAGATCAGAGTAGGAGGAGGCTGGGAGCCAGGACATGTGGGATAACAAGAGGTTTAGTGGCGGGGGGCTCGGGAGCCTGGATGCCAGGGCTCCCTCCTGCCTTGTGGGTGGGAGGCAGAGTTGGCAGCAGGGCTGCCTGGGCGCTAGCCCCGCTCTGAGAGGGGAGCGGGGGGGCTGGGGGCCAGGACACCTGGGTTTTCTCCCAAGCCTGGTGGGCTGGAGCAGGGGGTCCAGGAGCCAGGACACCCGGGTTCTCCAGCAAGCTCCGGAGCCGTTGAGGGGGCTTTCGTGGGGGCGCCAGGGATGGGAAGCGGGACGCCTGGGGTCTGGTCCCAGCCCAACAGACGCGTCTCCCATCCCTCTGCTCCTCGGGCTCTGGGTTAGTCGGGGGCTGCGGGTCAGGAGTGAGGGGCACCTGCCATAGCACCCTCCACGCAGTGCCAGGCACCTGCCCCTGCCCAGGGGTGCTGGGACCAATGAAGACCCCCTCCCCTGCCCGCAGGGCCCGTGCACCCACCTGTGGGGATTTCCGTGCCTCCCCTGCCCTCCCCCAGGCGGGCGCATCGCCTGCCGCGCCGGAGGAACCCAGGCGTCCGAGACTCCAGCTGAGCCCAACAGCTGCGAGTCGGGGAGAAGCACCTGCCCCCGCTACCCGCGGGGTGCAGCCATTGGGCACCAGGCTCGTCCGTCACCCGTGGCACCGGGAGATGGGGCGGAGCCTGATCGGTATCAATCTGGAGTGAGTCCCCCGGGGGTTCACACTGGTGCCAGAGCTCCCTCCCTGCGACCGTCCAGCCAAGGGGAACTTGCTCACTGGGCTCCAGCCGCCTGGGGCCCATTGCCCGCTCGGCCTCTGAGCTGGGAGCAGCCCCTGCCTTGCTTGGTGCCTCAGTTTCCTGGGCACCCCGGTCTGTTTAGACTGGGGGGATCCCTCGGTCTCCCAGTGGGGTCCGGGCAGCGCCCAGCACATGGGGGCTGCCCATCTTGGCTCAATGGGGCCTGGGATTTCCACCCCCTCCCTGGCTTCACACACCCCGCCGTGGAGCTGGGGGCCTGCCCCTCTCCTTCCACCCCGCCAGGCCGGGCCCCTGCAAGCCCCCTTCCCCCCCCCTCCTCCCGTGGCCCGCGGCCGGCCGGCGGCTGCCGCACACAGCGTCCTTCTCAGCCCCTTCCCTGCGAGGCGCAGACACCCCGGCCCAAGAAGCAGACGGGAGCCGTGCCGTGGGTTTTGCTCTCTCCTTTACTGAGTCCCCAGCACGGCGCGAGCACAGGCAGGGACCCTGCTCCGGGGCAGCGGGCAGGGCTGGGGCGGGCAGAGGGGGCTCCCCAGGGCAGGGCGAGGGGCGCCGGGCTAGTACTTGGTGCTGAAGCCGGTGAACTCCAGGGCACGGACCTCCCGCTCTTTGGAGAAGACGGCCCGGTCGATGCGGGACATGGGGCTGCCCACGCTGCGCAGCCAGTTCCTCCTGCCGGGACAGGCCTGCGTCAGCCGGGGGGGCCGCGGCCCCGGGGCCCAGCACCCCCTGCTCGCGCCCCAGCCCCACTTGCCCTCCCAGAGCGGGAGGGACCCCGGGGGTCCGGGCAGGAGGGATCCCAGCCCCCTTTTTAACTCCTTCCAGGACCTCCAGAGGAGGGGGGGGTTGCCGTGGCAACCCCTCACTTGTGATGAAGGGGAAAGAAGGGGGCAGAGGTTGCTATGGAAACCCCCCCTTATCATCCCCCTCAATGGGGGGGAATGAGGGATGCCCCGTTGCCACAGCAACAGCCCCAATCTGGTCAGGCCCAGAGGGGAGGGGGGCTGGTTGCTATGGCAGCTGTCCCACTTTCTCTTACTCCTGGCACTGGTGGGGGGGTCCTGTTGCTATGGAAACCCCCCCTCCGTTGTCATCTCCCCACTGGTTGCCATGGCAGATGCCCCCCTCCCCATCACCTCCCTGGTGGCTGGGGGCGATGGAGGACAGTGAAGGGGAGCCTCTGCCCCCACCCCCCCCAGCAATTAAGCAGGCTAATTAGCATGGGGGAGGTGGCAGGAGGAGACCCAGATTTCCCTGGTGCTGATTGGACGCCCCAGTTGCAGGGCCCCATTTAAGCAGAGGGGATGAGCAGAGGCTGCTGGGACCGGGGACGCCTGGGCCGTGTCCAGGCCGTGCCCGTCTTGCTGCGCGCCTCGGTTTCCCCTTCAGACTCTCCCTGCACCGATCCTGGTCTGGAGTCTGCACAGTGCCCGCTGCCCCGGCCTCAGCCTGTGCAGCTCCCAGCGCTCCCCAGCCCTGGCCTGGGGGTGGTCTGCGCAGAGCCCAGTGCCTCCCCGATCCTGCCCCGGGGGTCTGGGCACTCCCACCCCCACTCACATGATCTCCACTTTGTCCTTGGGCCCTTGCACCTGCCCCGTCACCGTCCCGCGCGGCGTGTTGCGCACCCAGCCCGCCAGGCCCAGCTTCCGGCCTTGCTCCTCCGTGTACTGGGGAGAGGAGAGAGGCACAGCATCAGCAGCCTCCTGCTTCCCCAGCCCCGAACCCGCGGCCTGGGCTGCACCAGCCCCAGCCCCAGCCCCAGGGGGACCAGACGCCCATCGCCCCTGGCACCTGGGCTCTGGCACCTGCCTGGCCTGGCTGGGACCCCCCAGCCCCCACTCCTTAACTCCCCCCTCCACTCTGCTGCCGCTCAGGTGGGGCCCCCTACGCCCGCTCCCGGCTCTGCCTGCTGGGGCAGGGCAACAGATGCCAGGGGGTGCCCCCCGACCCCTCTTACCTTCCTGAAGAAGACACCTGGGGGGAGAAGGAGACAGGTGAGTTGCAAAGGGACAGCTCAAGCCAGCCCCACTTCAGGGAACCGGGGGGGCTTCCTGCCCCCCTCCGGCCCTGGAGCACGGTCCTGTCCCCGGCGGGCAGGACGGCTGCGTGACCGCAGCGGCCCCGAAGGCAGGGCACGGGGGTGATCCGGCACCTGCTCGCGCATCACGGGACCGCGCTGCCGGCCAGACGAGCCAGAACCCAGGTGTGCGGGGTCCCAGCGCGCTGCACCAAGCGCCCCTCCGTCCCATAGGTGGGGGAGCCCAGGCCCCCCGCGCTCGCCCCCCCAGCCCCCCCTCCAGAGCTGGGGGAGCCCAGGACCCCCGCTCTCGCCCCTCGGCCACACCTCCAGAGCTGGGGGAGCCCAGGACCCCCGCTCTCGCCCCCCAGCCCCACCGCCCGGAAGGGGGGCGGCCGGGAACGCCCGCCAA